GAGACCGCAAAAATAGTGAGTGTCGCAATCCCTAAGGGAAACTGCCAAATGATGTTATAAGGAAGTGGGTTTTAAGGAAAATGGACTGCCGAGACCTCGTGAAACCATAGCAGGAGTGTAAATTTAATTTTATCAGGCAGCCCTCAATTACTTCTTTTCAATCATTTGGAGTAACAGCAACTTAATCATCTCTAGGCTTCCACCACTGCGCAATGCCTTAAACATTCCAGTACTGATCATGACCGAAGGATCGCAATACACTGTCAACACACTCATCTGCCATAAAATAAACCCACAGAGGCAATTTCGAATAACAAACCATTCCATATAAAAAAACAGCAAGTACACGATTGTTTAGAAAAGGGTACAGGAAAATGAACTTAATGTTCGTAAAAAGAAGGTTATTCCGTTCAGTCGGCACGTTTATTCGATCGCGTGACGACTGGCCCAATACGGAATGAAACATGAGGATGCCTTTGAATAGTTTTATTTGGGATGCACAACATATGGAAACCCAAAGTACGAAAGCCAGAACCAAGATGATAAGTTTGGCTGCTGGACGAATTGACCTTGTGGTTCCCCTCAGGCGCTCAAAAGCGAAGCAAGAGCTTCAAAGAACATGAGCATATCCTCTCGATGAAGTTCAATACCTGCAAGTGAAGCGTTTATGTACGTTATGTACAAACAAAATTGTGGCTCTCACAGAGATACTTCGAGCAAAGGAGATTCACAAACACAAAGTAATACGATAAAAAGTTATGACCTCAACACCCAAAGATGGCAGGAACTTCAAGCGTTATTCCCTTAAGAATATTTATAATACAGTAAATTGGAAATCTTTTGTTAGTACAAGAGAACGAATGCTAAGCACCAAAGGCCACCAACAGTTTCCTTACGTCCACCAACCTATTAATAGGAGATGAGCTATGAAAATGACATTTAGAAGCAGGAAATAATAAATGCATATTCTGTGCAGTGGACAAAATACCGCCTAAGCGGAATGTTTTTGAAGAAGTTGCAGATAGTCAGCACACATGGAAGCAAATTGCAATAGTTGAATCAGTCTGATTATCAAATGATGCCAAAATTCGGATTGTAAAGTAGAAATAATTCATTGTGCAGGGCCGTTACTACGTGAGCGCATTAACAGAAGATCAACAATCAGACCGCAAAATATTTCGCTTGATACATCTACCTTTGCTTTCATTTTTGAGGTGCGATTGAAAGTTTGGACGTATCAATCTACATTGAACAGAAGGCCCTTAATTGAGACAAACGTTCTTTCCCTATCAGCAACGCGGGATGGTGGAAAATCATCACTTAACGTGCATAATTTGATTAGGCTGGCATAGCGAAGCAACTCAGTTGCTGGTGAATGCAAAGAGATCTCACTTAACTCACCATTCATGCTCTTTTCCAGAGGCCAAATGGATGCATGCTCAAGTTTCGCAATACTCAAACGTTTTCAACAAGCTGTTCGTGCTAACGGATCAGACACCTCCTAATTGAATCTGATATTCAACTATGAACAAGGAAGGGATGCTTTTTACGCTAACGTTGTTTTTAGTTTGCAATGAATTATAAAGAGAGGTAGAGCACTTGGATCACAATAAGCTCATAGGATAATTGTCAACGATTCCAATGGTCATGCGCAAGTAAATTAGAACAGAAGGTTGCTATTATCAAATACTCCCACCTTAGCATCCAACATTCAGATTAGTCAAATCTACAAGTAAAGTTCGATGAACTTCGTCAGATATCTCACTACAAACTGCAATTGTATAACCGCCACCATGAGCCTTCAAAGGTGAGTAAAGGGAGAAAATGCAGACACCGAGCCTTCTTACCATAAGACCAACTACAACCCTGTCTAATACCTAGCGCCGCCAAAGCGGCTTGAACAGGAGCTCAAGCGATCAGATTTTATAAGATATGAGACCTATAGTTAACAATGGGGACCGAAAATGTGCAACAATTTTACAAAGTGACGTGTCAAAGAAACTTGCACAGCTTATTTCATTGAAGATTCATGAAAAAAAATGCCTGGAGAGCTATTCGAAAGTCGGATCTGGAACTTATCAGGAGAAAGCTCTAACTACTCTGGGAATCTGCCAAAGTAGACATCAAACCAAGCGATGCATAGTGCAAACTCTCGAGGAATAGGTATGCGGAAAAGTACACATTTAAGCAACAAAATGAATTGTCCAAATAAAATCTTATTGACGGTATTTGGAAGCAGGGACAATACATTCAAGTTAGAAATTATGAAGTAATGTATGCAGTTACTGTGGGGGATCTAGGCAATTACCAAGAGAAGGTATAGCACCTACTCCTAGGCTCACTAATTTCAAACAAATAGATTAAGCATAGTGATGGCTTGAAAAATGTGGGAATCAAAAGTGTTACAACTCACAATTCGAGTCAAAGTGCCTGAAATCGCCCCGCACCTTTGTTCGTTTCACAGAAGCATCAAAAGCCTGACCAAATAAACTGGGAAAAATAAATACAATTAACCAAAGTTCATTATCCTCATCCGTAAAATATGATTAAAACAATGAGACATGACGAAGAACCTCGCTCATCGTGACCGCATGCAATATGAATGTACGAGCAAAAAGTAACTCGACCCTGTGATACGGACTGAGAACATTGAGAACATCATGCCTCCACTATACAATGCCAATTTTAGGTTTTGACACAAGAGGAGGTGTTTGCCCCATTTTCGTGCCATGGTACACATTACAGTTATCATATACACTTTCATAGGTCTCACTACTAGCACAAATTTCCAAACTTGGAATTGAATATTTTTTTGCTAAAAAATACTTAACAGAGAAAAACACTAAAGGGAGTAAGAAAACCATCCTGGCTATCTTCCAAAAAATTCGCACAAGCAACCTTGGTTTCCACACAATCCGAGCGAACGGATTTAGTTAGATTTTCGAACCCTGTCAAATGCACAAACGCTGAATTTTTCCACTTTATAGAGTTTTTTTCTATTCATCTTTCCAAATATGTAGAACACGGATAACAGAAACTTTGGTGTCAGCATTGTTTGGTTATATGGGAACAAAATCTGGTACATTAATTAATATAAAATGTTTGTTGATACGTTAAACGCGTTTAAGTGATGGTCTGTGCAATTGAAAGACAAATACTAATGCAAAAAGCGGGTTTGAATGATCAAAATACGAGATCTACGATTCAACACGTAGTTTGTACTGAGATCAGAATGGATCATATCGGACGAACTTCCTATCATCATCCCCTTGTAGCGGAGGAATTCCGATGACGAAGATATAGTTTTCATCGTATCTGCTGTCCAGGCACAACACCAGAGGCATTTGGGCTGTGCGTCTGTTCCTACCCTAGGGTGATAGAAAAACGCTGTACTTGCAGTATTTAAGTAAGCATTCTCGGAGGGACCTAAAAACCCCACCAGTCTGACACGCATGGTTGCCTTTGCAGTGAGGATGTAGCGCGCCAAGATACCAACAAATTGCGGGTTTCGGAAGCTCAATGAGAGGAGAGAACTCTAAAAATCAATAAAACAGCTCAGTCATGATTAATATGACCATTTTCAAGGCTAAATACCAACTTAATGTTGGTTACTACGCAAAATCAGTGAATGATATGCGCATTTAACCATTTTGGGTTTATTTTAGCGTACAGTTAAACAGAACTGCAACGATCAACACTGTCACACAAGTGTTAAGTAGTCTTAATAGACCTTCCCAACGTACCCTATGGCAGAGAATTTCAATTTATTAAATACACTTCTAACCTTCCTGGACAATATCGACAAACTAGTAATCGTTTTCACAAAAACCCCACAGATTTAATTTCAAAAACATCTTTTTGTGACTAAACCATAAATATGGAGAACAAAAAACTTCATTTCTGTACGGTAAAAACGAAACTCGTTACTAGGTACTGATAACAACTGCATCGAATCCAAGTCCATCCTGAATAGCAGACTTCAGCATTAAAGGCACGTGATCAAGCAGCAAATGGATCGCGATTGATTTGAATACCTTAGCCACGTATACGTAGAGGAAGGGTCCAAAAGCAACCACTTCATCAGTATCGAGGACAGCTCGAACCTGTCCTACAAGATTTCGCAGTTGATCCTGCAGGTTTTCCATCCAGTCCCCCAGGGATTCCATTGACCACCTTAGGTAAGGAAGACAAGCACAGCAATCAATGCAAAGAATAGAATGAATTACAATAAATCCCCGATGATTCAAGATAGCATAATCGTAACTAAAGTGATTGGATACTTGGTGGAGTTCCAATTGATCAATGCATTATTTCAAAACTCAAGTGGCCTGTATGCTACAAAATATTGAGCTCCATACAAAGATTTGATTTAGCTTAGTAATAAAAAATGGGGTTGGATTCATAATAGCAACTTTATTGATACGATTGTGAGAAAAACAGAAATTACACTACCTCATAAGAAGAAAAGAACTTACGAAGCAAGAATCTCCGCAGCAGTGTGAAAACCTTCGACAGGATGCTTATTGGGCTATAAGAATGGGAAGTTGGTGATAAAGAAGTGCAATCCAAAAACTTACTTGACACTCAAGTGCTGCAAGTATTAACCAAAACGAGTCCATTGCTGAAAGAGGAGTCTTATATGAGAGGCGCAGGATGAAGGATGGCAGGAACATCTCAGACCGCGTGAGACTGCTTGCACATAATGAAAATCAGGAGAACCTACCCAAATTTTTCTCCAAACTGTAGAAACAGAGAGTTCAAGTTATCCTTTATCTGAGTGCTCATTGTGGAATACTTTTGAGAGCAATCGCGATGAGATAGACTGCAGAAAAGAACCAAAGGTATGCCTTGCATGCCTAGAGCAAGGAGGTGTACAACATAGCATAATTTAATGAAGGAAAAGCTGCCAATATACCCTATGCTAGCCAGGAACTCCTGTAAGCGTTTGTAACCACCCTCTGTGAAGAGTTTAAAACGGGTTGATGTAAGTATGGTAGTCTCGAGAGCATCTTTCAAACTCCAGTGACGATACAGCCATAGTGCAAGCTCCTCCTCAAAGTTGATGTCAATGCTTTGACTGAAACTATCGGAGTCCCCAGCGATGGGGTTTTTTGAATGACTCAAGCGGTTCACGTGGCTGTGAAGAGTGTCGATCTGTTCGATGTAGTGCTCCCGATTGGATTTAAACAACATAGTCTGGCTTACGTGCCCCACAATTGCACACCTGAAACGGTCGGAAACCATCATTTGAGGATTTTACGCCAGTAATTACAAGAGACAAATATTTTATTCTACGCTCCTTTTGTTTGTCAATGGGTTATACGGATAAAGTAGGGCATGTGCACAAACCAGATCCAAAACGTGACAAAATAGTCTAGCCCTTACTCAAATCACCAAATGAATAAGGACCATGAGTCGTAGAAGTAAAATTCTCATAAAAGATTATTTACACGGGAGTAATCCAAGAATGAGGATCGACAATTAGGACAATCTTCAAGAAATAGGCCATTTTCATTGGATCAACAAAACTAATTTTGTCTTTTGATATTTGCGTTCGTGCTAGCACTTCATAAAAACTCCAACATTTCCAAAGTTATGAGCATGGTTGTTACAAACCAGAGAAGGTCAAGGTTGTCCTGACAGAGTTTCCAAGCGATATCGAAAAGGACCACAGCAGAGGCTGCAGCGTAGTAGGAGAAGCTTTCGTACTCAATCAAGATTTCTTCTTTCCGACGCTCCCACTTTCTTCGGCTAATTCGTTTCTCCGCAGCCCGAAGGTTACTGCGTTGACGACCCTCCTTGTCCTCTACATTTCTACTGCCTTCTTCATTTTCGCTCTCCACTTCGTCCATCTAAGTGAGAATTTGCAGAAGCGTATAGGACGCACAATATTCAAGATGACATATTTCCGCAACTAGATATTCAATGGAGAGACAAAGCAGTTCCGACACTGAGGTTTTTAAACATCAATATTGCAGTAACAACAAAGCTGGATGCTTAACTTTTGGATCAATGAGTAATTCACGAAGGCACTGCAGATTAAAGTTAAGTGGCCTCTAATATAACTGTGTACTAAGGCTGCCAAAGTTAATGTTATAAACATTTCCGCAAAATAATCCAACTCCTCGTAGCACACAAAGTACTTCAAGTGTATTATGTAGGAAAAGATGTTTTACAGTTCTATAAGCAGAGCAAACAGTTTTGACCTATTTGATAGTCAAGGAAAGTGTTAAGTGGATTAAACCAACCGTATCATCATTGAAGATGTCTTCAAATTTTGGTATGTCTTCCGTGTTCTCGTTTAGAGTGATTAGATGAACCTGCCTCTGGTTGTAGTAGTTGTTGACATGAATAGGCCGGTGACTATGCAACGAAGCGTTTCAAAAATGGGACTCCCATCTCACCTGTCACAAATGAAAAATATGCTCTGGGCAGGAGCTTCGAGTATTTTCAGGATATCGAAGTTTGCACCACAATTTACAAGAACCACATAATTAAACTAGAAAGTATTTGAAATAAAGATAAAAACCTACCTTGTCTTTATTAATGTTGAATTGCTGGTAAAGCTCAACTTTAGTTGAGATCACTATTAGAGTATAAAGAGCTTGTATTTGTCGAAATAAATGCTAAAACATGAGACAATGGAATTTCTTACCCGAAGGATCCGCCACGCACACACACCGTCAACATCAGGAGTTACAAAAACCAGAACATGCTAGAAGGAAGACATTTAAATTGCAGAAATAAGAGCTACTTCTTGCATAATACGGTCTAAAAAGTCACCACGAAGGTCGGTGAGCAGCCCCATAATACTGCTATTCAATCGCAATAGTCCTAGGAAATAAGGAAGAAACTGACTAATCAGCGCTATACTAGGCATCATGATAGTCAGCTTAGTACATCTACTCAAATTCCTCTGCAAAACTAAAGGAGAGCACGAACACTTGACCACAGAATCTAATAGTCTAAAACTGATGGAGGTAGGAGAGTTCTTGTCGAAGCTAACTAAAGTCGTATACTTTCGAAAGCGTGAGCCATGACAAGATCGAACCCGGTAACGCCATATTACTCAAGATTTCGTAAGAAATTATCTTACGAATGGTACACGACCACTCGCAGCAAACAAACAGACGAAACGCACACAACGTGGCCAAATAAGAAAGGGCAAACACATCACCGTAATGATTCCCCTTATCATCCACAAAACATTGAAATCTACATAGTTGAAGTGCTATAAGCATTAATCACACCTCGCAGGTAAGGGCTGACTGCCAGGTATAGTGATCGAATCGATATTGCCATGAAGCAGCCAGAGCTACGATTAGTGGTGAAACAAACACCTTTCCAACATACGATCTCGGAACACATGAGCATCTATTTTGTTTCCGACACCTGAAACGCGCAAACAGAAGACACAAAGTGCCAACTTCAGAGTACAACT